ACCCGATCATTGCCGCTTGCAGCTTTAATTATGATTATCATTGTTAATATTACTATTATAAGTAGTAGTAGTATTATGTCATTAGAAGTTGTCATAAGTCAAAAAGACTGATGCCATCTGCTGTTAATTCTTTTCTTGAGTGCAGACATTACTTTTTAGAGTGCATATAGAAAACACTATATGTGCACGTTAAGGTAAAAAATAAATTAATTAATAAATAAAACCTCATTGGATGGAGTCTTCAACTATTCACCAGGACATCTTTTATTTTTTGTCCTTCCATTTTATCGCCCGTCTTCCTGTTGTCCTGCCGTGCAGTCATGCTAACTCGGCTTTATGATTTGCATCCTGCCTGGCACCCTCGTCTTTTCTTGCCTCCTGAGCAAACATCCAGCCTTCCAGCTCTCTGGTCTCCACGACAGACCAAAACAATAAATCACCACCGCAAACAAGAGATGGAAGTAGGTCACATTGCTTCTTACGCCCACACGCTGTGCATAAATGCACGAATGCAAATCCATGCACAAATGCACACGATCACAAGGAAATCTGAAGCCACCTGAACACACTCACGATCCATCCTCCACTCTGCTTACACACACACACACACACACACACACACACACACACACACACACACACACACTCACACACACTCATACACAAAGAGCGTCACACCCTTTCTGCAGTACTACAAAGTCGCAGGGGACTGCAATAAAAAGCCACATTTTTATATTTTTATATCATCCAGAAGAGAAGGTGGCCCTCCTGGTTTGCGTCCAACCTCCCATGCCTCCTCCATCAATTAATCAGCAGAAGTATTTTTAAAACAAGTTGTGCTAGAACTTGATGGACTGTTTAAAAATGCATTGAGCACCAGAGTGGAGCAGCTGCAGCTGAGGATGCTTGTGGTGGCAGCAAAAAAAAAAAAAAGAAAAGAAAAGAAAAACTGCATCGGCAACAAGACTGCAGGAGAGCAGACAAGACACAAAGGTGAGACGGAGCGAGAACATGCAGTGGAGGAAGTGAAAGGAAAACAGGAAAAAGGTAGACGCAGGCAGGAAAGGTGCTAAGACATGCAGGAGGAAGACAACGAAGAGAGGAAGAGACCCTTGAGTGTATCAGAGTGTGTGTGTGTGTGAGGGAGTGACAGGATATTTTTGGGGAGCTATTTTTGGGACTGGAGATATCTTTGGGGTAAAGTGGGGGAGAGCGTGGATGCAAAACCAAGCAAGGTGTGGTCACATAGCGTCTACGACAGCAGCAGCTCTGCAACACAACCCCTCTCTGCTGCTGATATCTTGCTTACGGTAACACTCCAGTAACTTCAGCATAAGAACAGAACCTTTATCCCGTGAATCAGCCGAGCGCTCTGAAGCTCTTCTCAACAGACTTTCGTTTTTTTTGTGTGTTTCTGCCTGAGGATGGCGAACTTCCAGCCATCAGGCTTTGTGTTGGAGCAGAGCTGTGGCTCATTGTTGGCAGTCTGCGCAAGCATTTGAAGGGAGTAAATTCCCTGGCTGCATCAGATCTCGCGGTTACACGGTGCACAGGTTTCTTCCATCTGTTTCCCTTCTAAAGATGGGCTTCTGACGCGGGACTCCAGGTGCACTGTGGGCTGTGTGCACAGGAGTAAACACACACACATATACAATGCAAATTGGCAGCCACCCACACGGACCCGCTCACACGCACCGACGACACAAAGGCTGGCGGAGCTACACACAGAATGAGACACACTCATACGGTACGTGTGCACCAACTGTGATGTCCGGCTCTCTGTTGCTGTTCTGACAATGATCACAAGTGTAGTACTATAACAGCATCGAGCTGCAGCTGAACACGTAGGCCGGCTTCGCTGCTCATTATTTACATAATAGTTGACTCCGTTATAAACAGCAGATCCATTTAACAAAAAGTCGAACAACACGGACAAAGTGGGATTTGTTTTTGTTCAGGCAACAAAGTCATTCAATTATAAACTCCTCCTTCCTCATTTAAAAGATTATTATAACTTCAAACTTTAGTTTTCATATGATTTAAGGTCTGTGATTTGTTCACAATAGATGCTAATTGTCGAGAGGCCGGCGTCCTGTAGCAGAAGTGCTTCTTTGTCGGTCAAATCACATCCATCTGTGTCAGAATTGCTGAAATCAACAATCCAACATTAACACCTACTTCATTCTGTGTGGAGGTGAGATCGTAAGCTGGGTTTGAATATTTATCTCTCTTTTTGTTTTTTCGTTACACAACTATTTCTGGCTTTCTTATGTCAGCAACTGAGTGGACCACTGTGAATGTCCTCCAGGAGAAAACGATGATAAATGCGTTACGGTACACCTGCAGGTCTGAGTGATGGCAAGCTTCCAATATTTTTGTCTTTTTGCGGCTTTCTTTTGGTAAAAGTCAGTCATTGCTGATGCACAATATTGGTTCTTGTCTGATGCGACAGTACTTTTCAACTAATTTGGGCTGATTACTGACCCTGATATGTGGGCCTTAAAAGGCTTTATAGGCTTTAAATGTGCAGATACAGGCCCCAAAGTGAGCATTAAGAGGCCTGTCAGGCTAAAAATATGCAGCTTTATCTAAAAATGCTCAACAAAAATAAACATGGTGAAGGTCTGGTAAGCACTATCCTTATTTTGCCCGGTGGTTGTGTACACCTGTAAAGTACGCCTGTATTTTATGCTGCTTCCTGCCCCTTGGCCTTTATAATAAGAGCTGCTATAATAATATGTTGATTCCACTGGAGGAGAGACTCGATGTTCTCTGCAATTAGCTGGAAAAAAAAGTGAACAGATCGGTATTGGAAATCAGCCAGAATGAGTTGGAAAATATCAGCATACCAGAAGAAAAAAAAATAAAAAAATCCAATATCTTGCATCCCTAATTAACGTATCACGCCTACTCCTGTTGTCATGGCTCCCTGGCAGATGTCAGATTTATTTTTAAGTAACATTTTCAAACCGGAGTGTAAACTTTAGCCTGACAGCCTTTATCTGCTCGTCAGTGTTAATTTGGGCCGATGCCAGTAATTCATTTTAAACGATATCTTGATGATGATTCGCATCCTTAAGAGTTGTGTTAACCCGCCGAAGCACGAAACCCACCGGGGGGTTTAGAAGGCATCTTCAGAAAGTTGGAGTCAGAAAAGTGAGAAAATGGTTATTAATTTTTGGAATGTTCCTGAAATACTCATCTGTGACATGCCGTTAAAATTTTAACCAACCTTTAACCCTTTGTGGGGCAAGTGACCATATTTGGTAACTTCCTTCAATATGTCCGCCCAGTGCATCTTCTAGAGGTTGAAGAACCACTTTGAATTAGTTTTTATATTAGTGCCAATATCACTAAAATGTCACTAAACAAATGTTCCAGGCTCTTTATAAACGCTTTGTTACTGGTTTGCATTGAACTCCACTTTGATTTATGTTCTGAGATTAGTGCCAAAACCACCACCCCAAGAACAATGTGACTAAATGAACCTGCCGAGCACTTTATAAATACTTCGTTAGTGGTTGTAAACTAACGTGTTTCTAAATAAATGTTTTTTGCAGTTTGTTACTTTTTCTTTTATTCATTCTAAAATCCCTGTTTTTTTTTTGGTTTTTTTTTACCATAGATGCGAAAGTTACCGTATATGGTAACCTTATTAATCTTTGTCTTTTTTTAAAGATATTTTTTGGGCTTTTCCGCCTTTAATGACAGTGACAGTGAAGATAGACAGAGAAACGTGGGGAGGAGAGTGAGCGGTCACTGCGTCGGGGATTGAAGCCCCTATACACGGGTCGCCCACCTTACCTGCGGAGCTATCCGGGCGCTCAGTAACCTCATTAATCTTGATTTACAACAAGTCACAAAAGTGAAAAATATCTTGAAATATCCTTCAATAACAGCCTAGGGTTGAAATGTTCATTTTCCAAGTATGTCAAGGAGTGCCCTACACTCTAAAAGGTAAAACCTTTGCTTGCTTGAATCACATTAGTGTACTTCACTTATTTCATTTAACTCATGGACTGTGAGTATGTACTAATGTTTCCTTAAATAGTTATAAAACGAAGTACACTTGAGTAAACTGGACTTGAAACGTTCTGTTCCTGGACTGAACACAGAGCTCAGCAGTGCACATGTGCAGTAGAGAAGTTTCCGGAAACTTTCCGGGGCGGCTGTGGCTCAGGTGGCAGAGCGGGTCGGTCAGTGATCGGAAGGCGGTTCGGTTCCGCCCTGTAACCTGTGTCATGGTTGTTGTATCATTGGGCCCACCTTGCCTGGTGTGAATGCGTATGAATGGATTATGCGAGGTGGGGGTTGGAGGGGCAGCTGTGGCTCCAACGGTAGCTCACTGGAATGAATGTGTGTGAATAAATAACTGGCAGTGGAAAGTGTTTTTGAGTGTCTAGAAAAGCGCTAAATAAATCTGATTCATTATTTCTAATTTTCTAACCCTAACAAAATGAAGTAAATACAGCTACATTTTAAGTAAACTTTACAAGAAGATATGAAGTAAACTGAATTTAAGACTAATGGTTATATTTACTTACCTTTTTTGAGTGCAACTGGTTTCCTAGATTCATGTAAGTAAGATCAACTTTTTAAAATTTACAGCGTATAAAGGGTTAAACATGAAATCGTGATTTTTTTTCCCATTAAAATCACTTTATTCTATAAGTGTCATTTAAAAATTTGCCCAAAATGAATCATTTGCAGTAACCACATTCTGTTAAAAACAAACAGCTGCGACCAACAATCATGTGACCAAAATAAATCAATGAATCAGGGACTGTTCAGCTGAACTGCAGGCAGTGTTCACACAGAGCAGAGAGGAGACAAGTGTAGAAACAAGTCAAAAACTCTCAGACGTGTAACATTAAACCACCAGAAACTACAATCGACAAGACGTCTAACAGATACGACTGACATGAAAAGGCCAAAACTGAAGCGGTGATGGACTGTTGAGTGAATTGCGTTGGCCTCGTAAAACCAATCCGGAGACTTACCGGGAAGTAGAGCAGTAACGCCCCAAACAAGATGGCTTCCAGCAGAATGAGCCCAGATGTACGGATGCTCTGTTAACGAGGAAAGAGACACAGAAAACTCATCAATCAATGATAGGCAGAGGGTGATTATTTATGGATTGGTACGCTGAAGGAGACTGAAAAATTATCTGTCTGATGCTGTCAGACGCATCTGAGATAGTGATTTAACACAGCGGCAGCACAGACAGAAGCAGTGATGAGATTAATCCCACATAACATTATCTGTAATGTCGCTGCTGTTCGTATGTGTGTCAATGAACCTTTTAATTGCACGTGCTCTTTCATCTGGCGTCACCACAGTTTAACCTTCTGTTGCTGTAAATCTGACTGTTCAGACTATGATGAGCTGCATCTTCAAGTCGCGACCGCAGGCGAATCATAAATCATCGCCTCTTTCAAAGCAAACAAACACAAAGAGGAGTTCAATATATGGATATTTCTAATGTTTTGCTTTTCCCTGAAACAATGAGTGACAACAGAACTTTTCTGGGTTGCATTTAATTACCCACATTACCACATAGAAGATTTTTTTTTTATTGTCTTTGATGTAAATCCAAGCACCTCCAGGGACATTTCTTGTGAATTGAGGAAATGTGGGAGATTCTAAGGCAATAACACTAATGTCTATAAATAGCTCACGAGGAAAGATTTATTTTTTTTTGCTCAACTTTGCCTGAGGACTGGTTGTAATTATTCCACTCAGGAGGATCTCATGTTTATTCGAGGGGTGGAATATGAAACAACGTCGCTGCGAATCTGCAGAAGATCCAAATGAGGGGGTTATATATGTATGTATAGATGAGGATGTAGCGAGTAGCATGTAGTCGATGCACGATGAGATGCTTTCAAATTTAAAACAGGAACGGGAAGCAAATAAATATTAATTGAACAGAGTTTTGAGTTACATACTAAACTGAGTAACAGCGTAAAACATTTACAGAGGCAGGACTGGGCATGAATTATTTTTCAGCACACGCAACCGACAGCTAGAATCCCTGACTTCACTTTTAATGTGGGGCAAATATTTACAAGAGTTGATCAAAAAGTTCTTTCTGTGTGGAGTTTGCATGTTCTCCCCGTGCAGTGTGGGTTCTCTCCGGGTTCTCCGGCTTCCTCCCACAGTCCAGAAATATGTTGAGGTTAACTGGTGATTCTAAATTGTCCGTAGGTGTGAATGTGAGTGTGCTTGGTTGTCTGTCTCTAAGTGTAGCCCTGTGATAGACTGGTTACCTGTCCAGGTGAACCTGCCTTCACCCTGAGTCAGCTGGGATAGACTCCAGCTCCCCATGACCCTAGTGAGGATTAAGTGTTGTATAGATAATGGATGGATGGATCAAAAAGTTCAACGACTGTCCTTGCACATGGAGTGAGTCGTGGTTACATGTGCGAGCAATAACCGTCATGAGTCACGTTTTATTTCTCCTCACTGGTTGGTAGAATTTCTTTGTGTCCCACAACCAGAAGCAGAAGCGAGAACATTCTGTGTCAGTCAGCAGCCTGAGATGATCCAAACTTCACGTGGAGGATCCTCACAGGAGGGTCTGCGGCTACCACTAAGAGAAGAAACAGCAGCTCGCCAACAGTCGCCAAAACCTGACATGGTGCGCGCTTGATGGTTTCGCCAACATCCACATGGTTGTGCACCACGTTCTAGTGCAACATCCTGAAGTGTGTGATGGAAAGCATTCAGCACAAATGGTCCGAACTGCGACGCTATTCCATGTGATGGCATCCGGTCACACAAGGATTCTTTACCCTCTGTCCACCTGAGCTTCTCACCACACTTGTCTTCCTGTGACTTCTTCTTCTTCTTCCAGAAAATTGAATTCAAGTTGAAGGGTTGCGTTTTGCACAGTTCAAGAGATTCATCGCGCTGCAGATGGTGCTTGACGTGTTTACGTAACGGTACTTCCTGGAAGCAGTCATTACAGGAGTGATGCATCGCAGCACAACACGACTACTTTGAAAGAAATTAGGTACGGTTTCTACATTTTAATATTCACAGTGTCATAAGTTTTTGATTAACGCTCGTAAATGTAATTCCTTTTATTACAGGTGATCTGGAGTCGATAATGGCTTTTGGCAGGATGATGAGCCACAGCTCAGCGGCGACTGTTTTAGAAAGTCCCTTAACTTAATCACGATTGTTGATCTCGTCTACGTCACCAGACTCCTCGTCCAATCTTCAGTTTAAAAGTACAAATACTTTGCAGTGACATTTCCAGTTACTGTTAGCCGAGCAATTAGAAGAGATTTGGATTTAGGGAAAAGGCCAAAATAGACGGAGCAAGAGAGGCTTAGGTTTCCTGACTGTTCATCGTGAGCGTGGGTCAAGCTCCAAAAACGTTGGTTAAATAATGAGATTAAATATTCGCTCTGGGTTTGGGTTTGTGGTGTTTTCAGTTGCTTCAGAAATGAATGTGAGCGAGAGTGTGTATGAAGTGTAATGTGAACTTTAAACCTCTTAGACTTTCTTTATATAGATGACGCCAAGTTTGTCAAACTCCTGCTAAACTCTAAAAAAAAATGTGAGATATTATGAGACAAACTCCCTCCAGTGATGCAGAAGAAACTTTATAAGTAAGAACTCATTACTGGCAAAGCAGTGACCCTCCTCACCTTGTTCCTCCTGAAGTGGTAGACCACCACCATGCTGGCCAGGTCCAGCACCATGCACAGACCCTGGAAGGAGGCCACAGCCAGCCGCAGAGCCCCGTCCTCCTGCACCAGGCAGGGGGTGTCGTCGCGGCAGTACGGGCAGCCGTCGCGGCACGGCAGGCACTTACTGGACGTGTCGGAGGGTTCGTCTCGGCTCTGCTCCTTACCTGAGGATGAGAAGTCACTTCAGTTATGTCTGGCCACAAGACATTTAATGTTCACTCCTGTTCTTGAAGAGGATGAAAGAAAGCCCTTTGAAATGTTCGTATCTAATCACATCTCAGATTTACTGTAGTGTTTTCCGGGGTTATCACTGCAATTAATTTGCATTTAGTTGTCGCGCGCTGACATCTTATTAAATGCTCGGTTAATCAATTTGAAGGGCTACGAATCACCAATCCAATAAATCAAAAAGGCTTGGAGTGATAATTACAAGAATACAGTCTTTAATTAAGCAGATGAGGGAATAATGAAGGAGAGGAGGATAAAATATTGTGACACTGCTCCCTTCATCAGTCTGGTTTGCATAATTGTTATTACTGTATTCCAGCACATGACACACTTGGATGTGGTTTATCAATTCTCTCACTGGATTTTTATTTATTTTTTCATCCACCTTCTCATCGGAGACTTAGCGAGACTGGCTGGTTTGAAACCTGAATTTAATCACTTACGTGTAAAGACAAACTAGACGGTGCTAAAAATATCGTTCCTAATTCTGCGATGAGACTGCTGTGGTGGGATTTGGAGTCAATCTGTAGCTTAAATCCTTCATTTTCACCACACAGACACTATGCGGCTCCTCTAGAAAATGATGTTTGATAAGCATGTAATTCCTCAGTAAGTCCCAGACCTCATACAGAATGCAAACACTGGGCCGAAGCTGCGCGGCGCTTCAGGAGAGCACGGGCTGCAAGAGGAAGCGCCGTCGAAGAAATTAACTGGTCGGTTCATAGACGAGTCGACGCATTTATCCGGCAGTCGTGCAGCTACTGATGTAAGAAATGAAATAAAGAGGCTTCATTGTTCATCACTGGGTTTGAATGTCACTTTCTCAAGTACAGTCATGACTCGATAATCCGAAACTAAATGTAAAACCTTCTTTTATGTCAGATAGCAAGGCTGTCGGATTGTCAAGACGGAGGTCGAGATACAAGGAGGGCTTGATGCTGGAAGGCTCATTAGTTGTTCATATTTATTGTTCATAGTTGTTATAATAACTAGTAGGGCTGATCCCAATAGCACTTTCTGCTCTCTGGATATTCAGGCCCAATTAATGATGAATATCCAAATATTCTGCGCCGTCACGGGACACTTCCACCCTGGGGGAGCGCTCCGACGAGGTGGAAGTGGCCGAAATGCACAGGCAGTACTTGGCTGCTGATGCTAGTTTAGTTAGCGCTCACACTTCTGTTTCCACCATCGCCGCCGCCATCCGTGTTTACTTCTGTAAACACTGAGCACGCTCACTGCGTGTGACGTCGTTGTGTCCTCTTCTGCGCATGCGGGACACTTTTGGCTCGTATGAAGTTCACACAGCAGATCACATACAAGTCACATTTAACTGGAAATGTGAACGAACTTGCAAAAAAATCGGATTTCACAAAAAAGTCTGAATTAAGCATCAAGTCCTGCAGTGTGAACGTAGCCAATCTGTGGGATTGTTCAGTCAGATAATACGCCGTTATCCTGATTGGTGACATCAAATGTCATGTTGGAGTCAGAATCCAAGGCTGTCAGTATGTTAAGGCTGCTTTTTATGGATTCTGTTCATTTTTCCTAAAAACCTGTCGGATAGCAAGGTTTAGGATTGTTAAGGGTCGGATCATCGAATCTGTATGTTCATGTTCTCAAGTATTCACACATTGGCAATGTGAGCTCCATTTGTGCCAGGATGCTGTCGTCTATACGTGACTCATCTGCATGAAATCAGTCACATTGCATCTGACGCAAATTATGTGACAGGATTGGCTGGCAACGACACATTGCTCGTGGTGCGACGTCATTTTTGGCAACAGGGTGTTTTCTGCCGTTTCCTCACATGGACAGACGGGCAACAAATTGAAAACCTGAACCCTTGACCTCTATATTGTCTGGCTCCTGTTAAGCTGTGGTGGCCGTTTTGCCTGCATGGTTTGGTTCCACTCGTCCCTTTAGGAGGAAAGCATCACTGCAAATCAATAGTCAGTTGTTCTGTGATCACCTTTATCCTGCGTTCAATCTTTTCCATCCCGCTAACGGTGGCACTCTAGGGTCACCAATAGACGAACTTAACTCCACTGAATGTGAGAGTTTGGACCAGCATGTTCACCAGCACTCTCCACTTTTATCATCAAAAGAAGAAGCATCTTTTGGATGGATGGGGTTTTAAGAGTCTTAGAGAATCACTGTAAAGCTGTAGTGAGGCTGTTGTAGAGGCTCGACACCTCACTAAGACACTTCATGTTGGTTTTTCCCTTCATTTGTAGCCTTTCTGTTTATCTAGTTTGGCTGACGAAAAAATAATACAATATTTTAACAATGTGCCTGAATTCATAAAACAATAACAAAGAGGGTTTGCAGCCAACTTCGAGGCTATTCAGTTAAAGAGTTCTGCAGAGCTGCTGAGGATTGCAGTTGGTTGCACTGGATGAAGAGAAAGGACAACACCTGGGCTCCCAAATGAATGCCGGGTGTATAGGGGATGAGAGCAGGATGCTGGGATTCACTGCTGAACCAACCAGTGAACAGAGCGCCCACTTGACAACCTACAGTATCCCATAAACCACTCGGTCATCCTGCGGAATCCAGGCAGCAGCTCCCTGGAGTGTAAACAAAAGATCGTAACACAGCAAACCTACTGGGAACCTTTTTCCACTTCTCTTGTTGACTAAGGTAACTCGCCCTACTGTCACCTCAACAAGCTGTCACCATGTTGCACCACCACCACTGTACAGAGTTTGATTTTTATATATTTAATTCTATTTTATTTCATTTTATTTACACTGTATTTTGATCCTTTTTTTTTTTAAATGTATGGCACTAATACAAGGTGAGAGAGTCGCGTCTTTCGGGTCCTATGTATGACCTGGATTGGGAGAAATTGACAATAAAAATCTATTCTGCCCAACACCCTCAGGTGGCGTCGACGCAGGTACGTCCAGGAAGTAACCTTCACACTCGGCAGACTCCAGCAGAAGCACCGCTTGCTCGGTCGTCCTGCAGAGCCTGGCCAGCATGTGTCTGGAGTGCAACTATGGGATATTAACAGCTACATTAACACCAACATAACAGACCCGCAGAGACAGAAGGGCACACGAGAAGTGAGAAATACATTGGAGCGAGCTGCTTAATGTTTTTAAAAAGTAGACTGGTCATATGGTGGGAGGAGGTCCAGAGGAAAAGAAAGTAGGTTTGAATTAGGCCTAAAAATATACAGATACAGGGCTTAACAGATTTATTAGACCACCACCCAGAGAAAGGTTTATGCCACAGCTGCCCTAAAGTAACTCATAATAATAAATACTGGTAATTAATCAAATTACTTTTTATGTTTCTGTAATGGTTAATACACCAGTATGCAGAAGCTCTTTACGATACGATACGATACGATACGATACGATACGATACGATGAGATGAGCCTTTATTTATCTCACATTGGAGAAATTCACATTGTCGTCAGCAGCAGTACACACAGAGATGCACACATACCATACATATAAGAAATAGTGCAAACACAAGTATAAAAATACACATATGAAAATAAATCATATTTTTATTCTAAAATGTAATTATTATTTTTAATCTATGAATTTTCAAATTTACTGTTTTACAACAGAAAAATGAAAAAAAAAAAATAGCAAAGCACATTATTATTTCTTGATAAAAATGTCAAATTCTGATTATTTACTTGACTTCCTGAACAGAAAAATAAATGTTAGTAGTTGAATGTCACGATTGATTAATTTCTGACTTCTCAGAGAAGGGACTCAGGATTTGGGTAAAAAAAGTTTAATTCAGTTTGAATTTCGTCATTCCTGTTCAAAACGGTAAAACGCTGAGAGCTGAGTGCAAATGAACCCTGTTCAGGACGTTTGGGGTCTTTTGGACCCCAGGACATTTGGTTTATATAGAAAGAGGCACATGTGTCATGCATTTGGAACCAAAAATACGTCAACTTATCAGAAAATATATTTAACATAGTATAAAAGTCTATGATGAATACCAACTAATATTTTGCACATATTCTTTCTTGGGGTCCAATTGACCCAGAAAGACCTTCTACGTATGGAAACATGAAAGTTCTGAACAGGGCTAAAGCACTTCATGATGCTGGATGGTTCATTTATATATACATATATTGAGAGAGTGATAGATGCTTTGTCAATAGCAATAATAAAGTCATAAGATAGATTTTTTGCTGGTTTCACAAAGCATTCAATGCAAATCTCCAGTACGGCAGCTTTACTCTGTTCGCCCTCCGTTTACCTCCAGGTTCCCAAAGGAAGACATGTTTTAATGTTTTAATGTTTAATGTTTTTATATTTCCTCATTTACTGCATCCTGTTGGTGTTCGATTGGTTTCTCTCAAAGCTAGTTTTACTTGCCGTCTTTATTCAATCTGCTTCAAGGTCAGATTTTTTTCCTTTATATTTACTTACATGTGTGAATTCTTTCATTTATGTGTTTTCATTAAAATGATCACCCATGAGCCTTGAAAAATAAGGTGGTTACATTAAAAGTAAGGTGATTAAATTCAAAGCAGACTTTTTTTTTCTTCATCTTTATTAAGAATAAGTCATTAAAATGATCAATAACTATCGGTATCTACTGAAATTTAGTTTTTTTAATGATTTTTTTTATGTTAACTACATCGCTCCACTCTAGTTTGAATAACATCGTCTATGAATATGAATATGAAAGTTTTTCACAAAAACTCATTTTGCATGTTCCCGACTTTCAGCTCCTCGATTTCCATCTACTGCCAAGCGGTGCCAGACTTCAATATGACCAGCAGTCAGTTTTATTCTGCACTGCACAAGTAATCTGGGGAGAAACTAATGAAAAGTTATTCAGGGAGAACCTTGAATATGCCATGTTTAAGCCTACAGTCTGTTTGTTCACCTTTTGGCACGAGGCCCGAATTTTCTTCGTTGCTGAAGAAAGAAATTCTGATAATTACGAGCCAAGATCTACAGACAGAGCAGAGCCTGATTAATTAATAAGCATGCCAGTCCTTGACACGCACACACACACACACTGGGAAGACTGAGGTTCTGGGGTTGTAACAAGGTGTGTGTGATGGGTTTAGATTTGACTGATTGTGTGTTAGGTGTAGAGGAAGAGCAACAAATGGTCTCATATAATGTTTTCTGTGTGTTAGTTCACACCTGTTTGTTTTGACCTCCGAGGATAAAATCATGGTCATAATAAGAGGATAGAAGAAAGCCCACTGAAGATGTCACTCGGTTTCACACATCTGGTGCGGGGCCAGATGTTCACCACACCTCTGTTTGGGGTCAACCGTCAGATGCAGGCAGAATTTCTCACCCGTTAAACTAACAGGAGCGACCCTCGGGAGACTTTGTAATTGCAGAAACGGTGTAGGAGGCAAGGATGGGTTTGTTCTTTTTTTCATTTTCTCCCAGTTTTCGGTTATTTTTTATTTAACCTTTATTCTACCAGGCAAGACAGTGAGTTGCCATTTTTGGATTGCAGAATATTAAAACTAAATACGAAGAACATGTCCCATCTCGTGCAGTTAATTCAGTTAAATTAACGGAACAATTTCCCTCCTTTCATCTCATATTTTCCAGCAATTCAGTGTGACTGACCCGTTTGTGAGGCGTAAAAGTGTTTCTGTTTATCGAGTGGGTGATTATAAAATCAGCCGGGCACCTGTAAACTCCGACTGCCGGCTACGTCGCGCTTTAACAGAAGGGCTTTTCTTTCCACTAACCTGTAATTAGTCGTTGTTTCAAGCTGCTGCCGGTTTTTTGTCCTAATGGCTGTTCTAGCACAGCTGTAGCAGTTTCACAGCATCCTCGATTCCACCTGCCCCGCTTGAAGCTGCTGCACGGCTCGCTTCTCCTTCCCACAGCACACATTTGCATTGAGAGGAGTGAGCGAAAAACTTGCATTGCTTGCTTTGTCCTTTTTTGTGGATACTCAAGGGTTCGTTGCAAAAAAGTCTTTCAATTAACTCTAACCCGGAAGACACAGCGCATAAGATGAAGGGGTGATACTTTGTAGGTGCCTTGACTTGAGAGTCACTTATATATGAGCTCCTTAATGGAACAATGAGGCAAATTACCGACATATATTCTCCCTCTCCCCATTCATATTTGTCCTTTTGGCCTGTTGCTAGGGAACAATACAATTTCTGTTTCCAGTCTGATGTGTTTTTTTTTTTTTTTTTTTCGGGGACGCGTGAAGAATAAAACACAGGTTCCAGGAGGGGAAATCGAGGTCACAAGCAACCGCAAAACCCAATCTGAGCTACAGTGATTTTTAATGAGGTGGTCTGCACGGGGGTTTGGAAGATGAGTCTCTTCACAGACTGAGCCGTTTGACTACAGGCCCCATCACGCTGCATTATAATAAAGCTCCAGCTTAGCATATCAACTCCCCCCGGGGCGCTGCATTGTTGGAGTCAGGGATGAGAACCACCGCAGTTGCCTGATTATCTTGCTCATCAGGGCCAAGCTTTCTGCCCGAGGACACTGCAGCGCTTTCAGTCAAGGTGTCAGAACGCAAACATTCGAATACAAAGCACGATCGTGGGGGCTAAAGTTAAGGATATACTTGAAAAGCGTAGAAAACCACAGAAGATGTGCGTTTGCGTTTGACTTTTCTGTCGCACCTGAATGGAAAAAGCATCAGGTTTGATCTCTACGTATGGAACTGATGCACATGGGACTCTAGTGGGAGCTGGATTAAGCACGTAAAGAGTTTAGACAGTGGTGTTCTTGTGTTGCTTTTGCAAAACTAAACACAGAAAAAGTGAAAGGATAAATTAAACTATGTGGATATCGATATAAGATCCCCTCCAATGAAAACAGCAATTTTTGTTGTTAGGCAAGGCAGGTTTATCTGTATAGCACAATTCATACCCGAGGTAATCAAAGTGCTTCACATTAACTATAAGAAGACGATAAAATCAGTCCACAGAACATAAACACAATTATTAATAACATTAAAAGCAAAGAGGCAGATAAGATCAATCCATTAAAACCTAAATATAATCATTAATTAGAAGAGTACAGATTAAATACTTTCAGCTGTCATACGCACAACTACATAGAACTGTTTTCAGCCTGGATGTGAACATTGTCAGAGTTAAGGTCTGTCTCACATCTTCTGAAATCCAGGTCCAGATTTTATCTGCATTAAACTGGAACACAGCCTCAGCGTGTTTGGTTCTGACTCTGAACACCAGCAGGAGACCCTCCCTGAGGTCCTCAGAGCAGTGGTGGTAGTAGTAGTAGTTCTAGTAGTAGTAGAAGTGGTAGTTGTTCGAATAGTAGTGGTAGTTCTAGCCTCAGCGTGTTTGGTCCTGACTCTGGGCACCAGCAGGAGACCCTCCCTGAGGTTCTCAGAGCCCGACATGGTTCATACGGCACCAACATGTCAGAGATGAACTTTGGTGATGGACCATGAAGAGACTTGTACACATCAAAGCTGTTTTAAAGTCAATTCTCTGAGCAACAGGAAGCCAGTGCAGATACTTGAGCACTAGACTAATATGGTCGTACTACCTGGTTCTAGTCAGGACTGGAGCAGCAGCGTTCTGGATAAACTGCAGCCCGTTTAGAGAGGCCAGTGAGCAGGCGACAAACACGTGGATTAGTGTCTCTAAGTCTGGCTTAGACACTATACCTTTGATTTTGATGTTTTTTAGATGATAAAAAGCTGCTGATGTTATTGACTTTTAGCTTTTAGAGCGAGAGTCTCAAGGTGACTGAAAACACTTTCTCTTTGTTTCTGTGGGCCAAAGACAACGAGTTCAGTTTTGTCTGAGTTTAGCTGGAGAAAGTTGTTTTGCATCCACACACTGATCCGTTCAATGCAGCGACACAGTGAAGCTACAGGCCCATGTTCACCTGCTGTCAGTCAGTCAGCAAGTCCATATGGTATTTTATATATGCTGGAAAACAAATCATGACCGAAATGACACTTAAGCGAAGCTAATTTGTTGTAATCTTCCAAGCATTACAACTCTGAATAGTAAAGCACATGTATAACCCAAAATATGTTCAACAGGAAGCATGCAAATCTTGTAAAGGTGCAGTAGAATTACAATTCGAACATGTTAATTTGCAGCCGTACTATAATAGATGGGTAATACAAGGTGGATCAATGGTTAGCATTGTTGCCTCGCAGCTAGAAGGTCGCTGGTTTGCGTCCTAGTGAGGACACCCGCAATCTTTTTGCGTGGAGTCTCCATGTTCTCCCCGTGCAGCGTGGGTTCTCTCCGGGTTCTCCGGCTTCCTCCCACAAGGTCCAAAAACATGCTGAGGTTAATTGGTGATTCTAAATTGTCCGTAGGTGTGAATGTGAGTGTGCTTGGTTGTCTGTCTCTAAGTGTAGCCCTGTGATAGACTGGTTACCTGTCCAGGTGAACCAGTCAGCTGGGATAGACTCCAGCCTCCCCGTGACCCTAGTGAGGATTAAGCGGTGTATAGATAATGAGACTATAATACATGGGTTACATAACCGAACTACGCAGTACATGAACACTGCTGCTCCTTTGTTTCCATCTCTTCTTTGTGTAACTGGTGAAGATGCCTTCTTCTTGCCGGGTACAAAAGCTGTTTTTAAGGATCATTATCATGATTCTATATGTGCCCATAATGTAAATGTTCAAGGTCTTTCCACAGCATTCTTGTTGTTAAAATGAATCAACAGGAAACCCCAAAAAGTCCACTGGAGACACCAAGTGTACGAGCCATGCTTGGCGAGTCGTCATTTAGCCAAAAGACAAAATCCACGGTCGGCGGCTGGAGATCAGAAAACTTCTTTTCTTTACTACTGCGTAAAATCAAAAGGAGTTGTTCTCTTTCTACAAAGGCGAACGTAAGATCCAACAGGTCTGCGATTTAAATGCCACCTGTGGCTCCCACTAGAGCTCAGAATAGAAAACATAGTAGACACTTTTACAATAAGAACAGTCAAAATCCTTTGACTGGAGCTTGAGGTTTCATAACCTCACAAGCCCCGGGACACCCTTTCAAAGCGGAATTTCAAACAAAATGTGTGGCTGTCAGCTGAAAAAAGGTGGTTGTTTTCTCTCTCTTTTTTTCTTTTTTCATAAATCCCAAAAGCTTCCTTTTGAAAGATTCAAAGTTTTTCATCTGACAGCTCGCTGCAATATGCATTTTTATATTACAGAGGGATTTGTAACCTACTTTTAAAGCCATTGAGCGCCACTCGGCTCGGATGGTAAAATCCTCTCCTGCACTGGCACTTGTACTTGTCCAACACAAATCCATGGCCCACGATGGGAGTGCACTGGAGGAACAAAGGCAGAGACAGACACATGGAGATTAATCAAAAATCTCTGTTCACCTATTTTGGCTGTAATCAACCAGAACATCACAGTCGGTCGTAACGCGAGGGCAGAAGCGAGGAGCCGAGAAGCAATCGACGTGAATGTGAAACCAGAGGACGGAGGAGGATGATTGACTCAGCTCCGCTTGTGCTTCTTGAATACAAAAGCAAGTGGGTGTAAACAATACAACAACAAATGCAACAACAACAAAACGTGTCAGAAATATTAACAGATAATTAGCCTTCCTTTCACCCTGTTAAACATTTAAAAGGATTGCTTTAAAAAAGAGGCATTCATCCTAATCATGCAAATTGGAAAAGCAAAGAGCATCTCAAAGCTTGAAATAATTAGTCAGTTAATGATGAACGGACACTTAATAGCAACCAAATCAGGCCAAGTCTGGTGGTTCAAGCTTGCAAACTTTTAAGTAGGGATGTACGATATCGGCTTTTTTGCCAACATCCGATATGCCGATATTGTCCAACTCTCAATTTCCGATTCTGATATCAACCGATACCGATACTGATATGTTTGTTACTGCAGCCACACTTGTTTACACGCTTCATGACGCAGTTTGATGTCGTCATCATATACATGCCAGTAAATGCCGGCGAAATCCAGGCATGATTTTATCGGTTTTCATTCTAGGCAAAAAAAAACCCTAACGACATTGACAGATATTACATTTTTATGCCAATATCGGGGCAATATTATCGGACATCCCTACTTTTAAGATCTGTTTGTTTATTATTAAGACTGAGCGAATCAGCTGTTGATTTATGTTACCTACAGGTGAACAACTAACTGTTTAAATAAAACGTCTTAGCAATAAAGCAAAATACACCTTCAAGCAAAGAAGAAGTGAAAACTGGAGGCTAAAACAGAGACTGTGTTGTTTGTCTTCTTCCATACATCACAATTAAATGTGGCTCCACAATATGCTTGTAAAAGCAGAGTTTACAGAGCTGTTGCATTAGATTTCACAAATCTTCCGAACACAGTGAGCATCAGTATCGTATAATATAAATGCACACTGATAATACAGCCACTGAAAAGTAGGAAACAATTGCTATTATCAAAAATATACAACATCATGAAGGAGTAATGCAACATCTTTCCATTTTTTTGAACACCTGGAAAAAGAAAATCTATACTTAAAACACAAAAAAATGCATGTTTTTTTTAAAAATATTTAATAAGATCTGTGGCCGTATGTTTTACATGCAGGACCAAACAACCTGTAGATGTGATACATGCTAAATTAACACAACACAGAATAAATACTTGGTTGCAACAAACTAGTGAAAAACCATTAAAAACATTCATTTTTCCAAATTTAAGACTCTTCATCCAGGCAGAAAATTATTAACTGTTATTAATTTGTAATCAGTCAACATTAAGCAACAATTAGTTGCAAATTAACCTCAGGGTTTTATGGATATTAAGCACAAACTTCAACCCAATCTAGTGAAAAATAAGCGATTAATGAGGCTTACAGGGAACCACAACAGCGATTACATTTGCCTTCAAGGGCCAAACTTCAAACATCCGTAATTCATAAAGCATCTGAGGTAAAACTTTAGGATTTCGCAAGGTCCCATTACCTGAAAAGAAGTTTTTACATGATTTTTTTTTTTTTTTTAGAAAATCCACAACAAGATCCTGGAGGGTTAGGTGAGCTGGCATGGAAGTTAATATGAGTTACGTAGTGCTGGTGCTCACAAATATTTCCATTTGTAGTAAATAAACTGTTCAGATTTGGATGATTCACGGCACCCAACAGCGGGATTAAAACCGCTTACCAACAGAGAACGCTGTAAAATTTATAGAGCAGATGCCTGCACGCGGGCTACAGTGTTTTACAGACTCTTCATCTATCAGTGAGATGAAAAATCGAAGAATCTGAATAATATAAAGGCTCCCAGCAGTTAACACAGACATCCCAATCTGAACAAAGCGCCTCTCCTACAGTATGTTTTTTTCTTTCTTTTTTTTTTTTTACTGCCTCCCGATGATTACGATCCTTCTCAGGCCCGCCGCAGTGTTTGGTCTCAGTTAATGAACTTGTTTCAGTCGTGTTATTGAATCTCCTACATCGTCTACATGCTCCTCTGCAGCGCAAAGCAGCAGACGCCCCAGTTATAAACATGCCTGTGTCAGGGGAAATCACACGGCTTTGCCAAGTAACAGGGAAACTAATTAATATCTAAATTAAGAATTAAGGGTTGTTTGCAGAATTTAAGTGCGCCTGCATAATTCCAGCTTGCATTGATAACTGTGGGAGCTACATGGGGCTTACAGACCATCTGGAGCTGAAACACACTGAACAACGCACACAGGCACCACTATGGATACTGTACACTCATGTGGATGCACATACTTGCTCTATATAAAGCTGCAATAAATTTCACATGAACATTCATAAATAGTGCATCGCATGCTTCGTACAGAGCTTCTCCTGTGGGCCGGCTGCTGTGGAGAACAGCAGGACTGTATTTATACCACATGAGTCAGCAAAAGTCACTGATAAAGTATTTTCATTTCTCTGATATCATTTAAAACACCACCACTGTTAAAGCAATCTGCGCCTATTTGCTTTCCTGCTGAGAGTTGTTTGTCAGTAGCTTAGCTCAGCATATAGAGTGGAAACAGCTAGCCTAGCGCTCCCTGAACCTGAACCTAACAATAACTCTAAAGTAATTTACACACTGGGGCTTCTTTTTTTTAAATTTTGTACACATAAATAAATGTGTCTTGTTTGTATGTATATTTATGTTCTATGTTAATTCTCTTAAGAATTTACGCATATCCAAGAACTTCAAAGCGAGCTAGGCTAGCCGTTTTGCCCCCGACTTCACACTAAGCTAAGCTAAGCTAACTGCCGTTTGACTCCATACTTAGAAAACAGACCACGTGCTACGTTGAAATGAAGCTTATGAGCTTGTGATAATAACACAAGAAGTCGTGTGCACCAAACCAAATGCTTTCTGTTCAAGCGGTAACATCGGCTGTAAATCGTGAGAACACAGCTGCTAGCCAACAGCGACATTACATTAGACTACATTCAACTTTAATGTCATCGCACAGAGTATGAAGACAATGAAATGCAGTTTCACATCTAACCAGAAGTGCAATATATATATATATATAGTGTACTACAGAACAGAATGAACATTATGGACCGAGTGCTATGAACACACTACTAAATAAATATATAGATGTGGTTACAACATTGAAAATAGATAATTTAAATCTACAGGTAGAGATAAATCGTGGGATGAGCAGTACAAACAGTATAAATAGCATATATAGTATAAACTGTATACACAGTATTGACAGTACAAACAGTGTAAACAGTATTAATGCTAACTTGAACGTTACTGCTGCCATCTTGAGAACACCGAGGCTAACTGTCTTGTTAGCTCGCTAACTATTTAGCGAGCTAACAAGTGGGTAATGTGATGTATGAAAAGAAAAGAAAAGGCCGCTGAGAATACAAATATTTTCCTACAACATTATTAAAAACTAAACACCTAAAATTACAACAATTACAACATATCCACCACAAAAAAATTTAAAACAAACATCAGCAAACACATCACAACTTGTGAACTTTGTGAAAATGTACATTTACAAGTTTAGGAACACAAGAAGAGGCAGGTGTTGTTCTCGTGAATGTGATAAACTCAACCCCATTTGAAAGCTTTGTGACAAACTGCACCATAAATTGCATTTTGAGGGAAATGTATTTACCGCCAGATTACGTACTATGCTTAAAATCAAGATATCTTTGGCATCTAGTGCACTGCTTTACTGTCGCTCCTTTTTAGCCTACCAATCATACATTGGATTATCATCTCAGTGACCCAGAGAATGGTGGAAAACCTTCAAAGGTGTTGGTTGTATTCAAACCCAGGCCATGCTATTTCACCTTAAACTAACCATGTCGATTTGGTGCCTAAACTTACAGCCAATGAAAACTAAAAGTAAGCAACACGTCACAGTCTTACCTCTAGATAAGAAAATTAAATGACGTTTCTTTCAAAATATAAATGACTTGTATAGGGATGCTACTTTTACAAGGAAATGTTGCATCTGAATGTACTTTAAGTGGTCTCTCCATATTTAATCAAGTATTCCATAAAAAGTGGAATTACCTTCTTAGGGAGTTACTCTGCACATACAGAAAAACGTGCTGCTCACATCCAACAGAGAAAAAAATTCAGTTATTTTTGATCACAAATTGTTCCCACCTCGTCAGATTCAGGAAACTTCCAGCCTCACCTGCAGGATGGCATCACGTATAAAAGTCAGAGCAAATTAATTTCCCACGATGCCACGCTTTGGTGTCCTGTTTACTTCTGCATAAAGGGCACATAAATCTCCAGTAAAGCATAAGAGTGTGGTATTTCAGAAGTAGTCTCCTTCAACAACCTGCCCTTTTAGAAAAATATTTATTTTCATGTCTTTTTTAAAGTGGAAGAGCTCTGCATGCCAAAGCTTCCCGCTGAACTTTTGCAGAGATGCGTTTTTTTTTTTCTTTCTTAAAGCTGACAAACAGTCCCAAATCTCTAAACTGGGAAGCAGCAAGCAGGAGGGATGGGCTGCAGAGGGTATAAATGTCGGAACTGAAGCGCAAATGGCTGACAGAATAAACAGATACAGTAAATCATTGCTTCGGTGTTGCGCCAGTGAAGACGAGCGGGCCTGGGAGTTGTGATGCTTCCGAGTTTTTTTTTTTTTTTACTTTTTGGATGAAAGTATGTGAGCTTTACACCTCAGAGACTTCACCTCTTTATTTTTTCATTTTCTTATGAGGAACAAAACCGAGCAACTGATAGAAGTTTGCAGGTACCGCTTCCAAATGTGAACTGTGTCAGATGGGGATACTTAAAACTATTTTGGGTTTAGCGCTAAAAAAAAATGAATAGCCAAAAACACTGAAGAGAAAATGAAAGAA